GCTAGTCGTTCTGAGGGACTACCTCAATTGACTTCAAAATATTTTTAAAGGTACATGATTTTTCGAAAATGATTTTAATTTTAGTCAAAGTCATTTTCTTGGTGTCGAAATATCGCTTGAGTTGGCGTCATGAAAACCAGATCGATGATTAAAATTTAGCGTCAATAAAAATGATCCCCACTGATATAATTATGTGAAAAAATTTTTTTTCCAATTATAAGTGATAGAACTATTTTAAATAAATAAACAATTATGTTTTTTGTTTAAGTTTGCAGTTTTTATATCAGAAAAAATTAGTTCTCTTTAAACAATTAGAGGAGGTTTGCTTGTTAATTTTGATAGCATCGTCTTCAGAGCCTGACTAAGGTAGGGACATACGGGGCAGTTGCCCTGGGCCCCCAAATAGAATAGAAAGTTTATTTTATGTTTTCCTTCTTTAAAGAACTTTTCTTAAACAAAATATCAGAACAATGTAAAATCCGACAGTTTTATGTTAGCTTCTTCATTAATCTATCGTATGAACGCAAGAAATTTTTTTTTTGTAAATCCATGACTTTCTAGGGCGGAATTTTGCTAAATTTTCGATTTACGATGGACAAATTTGGCCAATCAAAAGCATGTATTTCTATATATCGCAAAATACAGCTTTTTTGTTTTATTGAGTCTTTTTCAAATGTGGTTATCCTTTCAGACTCGACGGCGGCGCTTTGCTCGATTGAGTTTATGCATTGCCCTTCCAATTGTGACGTTCTAAAATGTCAGGATGCGATACGTAAACTCCACCATTTTGGCAAAACAGTAGCCCTACAATGGATTCCCGGGCACTGTGATATTGCCGGAAATCAGAGGGCTGATGTTTTGACAAAGAGAGGCACAAGAATTCTCCAGGCTCTCAGTAGCCCAGTCCCCTTCTCAACTTTAAAAAGGATTATTAGATCAAAAATCAATGGGGATTTCCATCATCAATTGTCAGAAAGGGTAAAAACCAAAGTGTGGAGAGATCTTCGACAGAACACCATTCCAGACTGGCCGCGCCGCGAAGCGGTGGCTCAGTTTCGACTACATACCGGACATGACTGCCTTGCCGCGCACCTGTTTCGTTTAGGGCTGGCACCTGATCCCTATTGTTCTCTATGCATGAGCCAAGCTGTTTTGGATGGCAGCCACATCCTGTGCTGCAGGGCCCTCCGCGGGTCGTCGTCTACCGAGCGATATTGGGAAGCAAGAGCGCTCCTAAGGAAATGACTTTTTACTTTCTTGTTTTGTTCCTATGTTTTTGCTTTTTCATGTCAATTACCTCTGCCATTTGAAATAAATAAATA